GTGACAGTAGTCTCCCCGCCCCCCGGCGGGCTTAGTTTAAAGCCCAGTGAAGCAGGTCAGCCAGTCTGACTGAGAAGAGCCTCCTCCCCAGGGGAGAGAGGTGGAGGCCACCTCTTCCTAGCAGCTCAATGCCTCTCAATTTGAAATAAATCAGTTAACTCTGTTACTACATACATCCAGGTTTATCTGAAACCAGTTTCGGCCATTTTGAAAAAGGTTTATGTGCACTGAACTCCTGTTGTATTACAGATTTGAACTGCTTTCCGATCACCTACACTGGTTTGTGTGTAATTTCTATCCCTGCCCCACGTGATTATTTATAAAGACTCTTCATACTTTTACTAGATGAGAAGAAGAAATTCACATACTAATTAATGACCAGGACACAAAACTTGACAATGGTAATTTGCAACCTTTCATTCATGGTGTTTGATCATACCAAGTCAAATCCCAGTTCTGTCACTACCTCTTGGTTTATGCATGTATAAACTCTTTAGAGCCCTACTGTAGTAATGGGACTTGGATTTAGTTAAAACAATCACGTAAAACAGGCTTAATATGTATGAATAACCTAAATTATGCCTGTATGTTAAGAAAAAGACAGAAAAAAACTCAAAAAACAGGTCTTGAAATATATGTGAAAGATGAACATTTTATTCTAGTCTGATATAGATAGCGACTTGGTTGCAACCAAATCAGTGGTTGTAATTAACTAATTCATAACCATAAACAGAGGGAGGCATTTTTTTTGTAGCCAGTTCTACTCTTTATGGTCACACTTAGACAAGTGCAGCTGTGCACTATGTGGTGCCACAGACATACCCAGGGGTCAAAAAACCCCAGGATATCCAGGGGTCAACCCCCCCTCCCCTCCCCAAAAAAAGCAGAGTGGCACTTGTGGGGGCAGCACACGCTGCTCAAAACCAGGGCCTGACTGGCTGAAGCCATGGTCCAGCTGTCGGCAGGCTCCAAGCAGCAGGATTATTGCTGCTGCTGCTGCTGCAGCCCCAGGAGGCCCCCAGGTAAAGCTGCTGGAGCCAGCCCAGTGCTGACACCAGCCTTCCCTACCCCACCCAGGGTAACCTACTGAGCACCAGAGGACACCTGGCTTCCCTGGGCACAACTAGCCACACAAGGTGTCTTTCTACTAGCTGTGCTCAGGGACCCAAACATCTGTGCTCGTATGGACATGGCCTATGTGTTCTATATGAAAGGGACTTAGTAAGGAGTTATAAAAAAACACTCAGAGGTTGCACTCTAATGTGCACCTGATAATCAGTGGGAAGGATAATGAGAAGAAAGGATGCATTATTTTTATTGCACTTATGTATAATAGGAAAACATACAATAGAATCAGGACCCACTATTTAAAAACTACACAAATGCTGCCTTGATAGGATCAGTCTGTTTACATTAAATTATGCTCAGTTGTCCTACATATTATTTCTTATCAAGCACTGTCTTTTCCTTCTAAAATACAAGTTTCCAAGAAAGCTAAAATCAAATCAGATTTGAGCCAACTGCAATGGGGCAATAGTCTTTGACTGGAGCTCCTACGTACTACAGTAATACAAATAATGAGAACAAGGACAATGACAAGACATGGTTTAATGTATTTTAGATTGCAAAGTTTAAGTTTTAAAATACATTACCTCCAAACACTGCAGGGCTAAAGGATCAAAGGGAAGGTATATTGTACTGTGTATCCAGTTGCAGAATACCACACACTGTGGCATAAAACCTTTTCACTGTTGGAGATGTTCAAAATGTGAACTAAAAAAAGACTTTAAAGTCTTTTGTTGCCTGATCTGTACTTCCTTTCAAGGCTGAATAAGGACTCTGTGTGTAGGAGTTAATTGTATTAGCTATCTTGAGAAACAACCTGATTAATTTTGTACTTCAAAGTTATTAACCACCTTACTGTACACAATTCACTGGAGAATGAATTAATTTAATCCTTCTGTTCAAATACAAAGCAAACAAGAATAATCCCTTGTTTTATAATTTTTAGATAGATAACTTCTTAAATTCTTAATGACGCTTACAGTATTTTATGGAAGCCCTCCCCAGAACCATTTTAACTAAGGATGGCCAGATATTTCTATTATGACCCCCTAGTCTTAATTAAGATTTAAAAATTAATTAGTTTACAACATGCCATAAAAACATCACTTCAAAAGCCTCCCTTTCTTTCTTTTAAAGTTTGTACAAGATCACTATGACCTCCTGAGACAAACTCAAAAAATTATGTTTAGTTATTTCAGAGGCTGTACTTGATAACTGCAGCTGCAATTTAAAAACTTTTTTCTAAGCTAAAATATGGCAATCAATTCATGCTAGGATGAATAAATTTCAGTATTTTAATAAACAAAGCACACAGGGCAAGGAAATTCAACTGAAGGTTTTGAGAAACCTACAAATGCACATATATGCAGCCCTAGCAGGCAGCATGCAAGTGGGCCAGTTGGACAGCCCTGTTTTATACAAACTGACAAATTGATGTAAAAAAATCAAAGGACACTACAAAAAAAAAAAGAAATGTGACGATTTTGAAAGTCATTCGTGAGAACTGAACTGAATTTTAATACTGCAATGTCAAATCCACTGGCCCAGCCATCACAGTAAATAAGACACCATAAGCAGACACTTGGTTCAAGTGAAGTCTATAACTCTTATTAGGCTTAACAAAACAGAGGGCGGGAACTGCCAAGATAGCTCCTCCTTCCTAACAAATATCTGGCAAGATAAAACTATTACTGTTCAAAAAAGGGCCATAAAGTAAGAGTATTTTAAGGGAGGGCTATGCACTCGCTCTTCCTAAATCAACCCAGTGATCATGACTAGACAAAGGATGAGGTACTTCTTTCTGTATTAGATATTGAAACCTCCGCTGCTTGCCACTTGCAAACAGCAACCAACCAGTCAGATGGTCACTGCCTGAGACTGTTGTGGCTACCTAAGTTAACCCAAAGAGCTGGAAATCTGCCTAGCCAATCCTCAACTGCTTTGAGGCAGGTTGAAATAACAATGAAAGCCCATATCACTCACTGCCTAGCATATTCAGTAAACAGTAAACAGTAACCTGTTTAAATTCGCTGATGACACCAAAATTT